TCAAGAATTTCAACAGCTTTAGTATCACCCATAAAAAATGGTAGCCGGATTTTATTTGCTGGGTCACATATACTTATTAGGGGTGACATATAATTGTGACAGTTAGCATTTTTCTCACAAAAATCTTTCCAAGTCCCCGGAATACTTAATAAATTGAAGAATGGCTGGGATGTGACGAGATGTGACAAATTTGCTAATCCCCTTAACTAATCCTAATTCTACCCCAATCCTAATCCTAATCCAAACCCTAACTCTAATGCTAACCTTAATAATAAATACCCGGAAAATAAAATTCTGCTACCATTTTTTACGGGCGATGCTATGTTCGTCAAGAATTTCATAAAAGAAAATGAAGTTCATTATATTTATAGTTAAGTTTTCTTATTAGAAGAAAAATAATAAGATAAGTATATTTGTAATTTATTATAATTTTATCCTTTTAGTAATGATAGATTCAAATAAAGTAGAAGATTTTTTAATCTCATTTTCAAAGTTTAAAAGGTAATATTCTTTATATATTTGCCTTTATTGAAACGTAAAATAAAAAGTAATTTAAACTTGTTTAATTAAACAAAAAAGTTTAGTTTATTCGTAATTTTTTAAATTTAACTTAGTATAGATTAACCTTTTTTAGATTCATAATTCAAACTAATTAAATCGAAATGGATTGGCTTGTAATCTAACCTGAACTGAATTCGTTTAGGACTATTTTTTATATTAGAATTTTTTAATTAATAGTTTGATTTTTTAATTTTGTATTTATGGAAAAAAATTATAATATACGTCGGATAAAAATATTTAATAATCAAATATCTATACTAAATCTATCAATTAATATCGAACTATCCCAACGAAAACATTTATATCATTTATAAACAAGAAGCAAAATAATTGCGAAATTTTTTGTATTTAAAATAAATGGATAATAATTTGAAGAAACGAATTGTATTTTAATATTATCATTCCTTCTTTCTAATAATGAATACTGTATTTTTTTTTTAAAACAAAAATTTAATTGAAAACATGTTTTGTATACTATTATTAAATAAATGTAAGTGAAAGAATTAATAAAGGTTCAAAAGTAATAGTGTATGTAATTTACGAAATGAAATTTATGATTGGTAAATTAAGTTGGAATAAAAATAAAAAAAATAAAAAAATAATAAATTTAATCTATTAAATTAAATATGTATACGTTCCTGATTCGTGTTTGTGAGCTATAATGATATATTATAGTGTAAATTAATAAATTTCAAATAAATTGTGGTTTAAAATAATTTTCCACTCACCAATAGCTTTATATTTCATAAATCATTACATACATATAATACACTTGAACCTTTTATTCATAAAACCGATTTTTTTTTTTTTTAAGGTATTGACAACACGAACCAACGTATCTTAAATAATAATAATGATAATGATAATGACGATAATCAAAAAAAAACCCCCTTTCATGATTACGTGATAGTATTATTATTTCCTAGATACATACTTTTTTAATACAAATTGGAATATACCCTCATAATTTCAATGAGTTTATTATTCAGTTTCTATCCATATCTATAATAAAAATAATATAAAGAGTTGATGATTTGTTTAAATACGGTGTTGTTAAAGAAGATTAATAGTTACCTCCATTCTACCGATATCACTTGATGTTCTTGGAATCATTGATATAGCCATTTCGAAATCTTCTTGATCTATCATCGTGACCATCGAACCGTCTTCATCCTTATATTTTAATTGCAAGGATGCTTCTATGGTAAATTTTTCCTGTATCCTTTTAATGAGTTCTGAATAAATTATACTTGCTGAGACCAAAACTACACGAGTGTCTTTATGATAGCATTTAATTTTAATCTAAAACATATATATATATAATAAATATTATTATGATGGTTATTATTATGCAGCAAATGACTCTTTCATTATGTACCTTAGTAGGTTCTTTAAGTATTTCATTAACAGGTGAACTAGGATACGGAGATTGCAGCAGACTATTTTTTTGTGGTGGAGGAAGCATTTCGAATTGTGTTTCCTCTTCCTCACCATCACCGTAACCATAGCCATCATCATCGAAAATTAAACTGGCATAATGTTCCTCTCCACTATCCGCTGTTGGAGAAGCCAATAGACCGCCTTGCATAGATAAAGGAGATGGTTTGAAAGAACCTCTTCCACCGCGACCACGTAAACTTGGAGATCGAGATGTCGGCCTATTACTATAATGAATACCATTTCATATTGATGAGTTAAATTTACGTATTCACTATAATAAAAAATGATGGATCATCATGAATCATACACTTGATAATCTTCATTACTCGGTGGTGGACTAGTAATATTGTTATTAGCGTATTGATCTATATCCTGGTAGTAATCGTTATAACCTTGATCATCATCCGAGACTGACATCTTTGACATTTGTTGTTGTAAAAATTGCGTACGACCCTGTGTATTCGACCTTTGAGGCATTGCCCTTGCTGTCGATCTACCACCTCTTATAGAATTCATCCTGGGTGGACCATTTCTAATTGAATTTGAACGGCTAGATTCTCTCAAAGAATTAGATCGCATAGGTCCATCCCTGAGTGGTCCACGATTAGAGTCTCTTATGGAAGACATCCTAGATGGACCGTTAGATGGTAATTTAGGTGAACCGCGACTGCTATCTAGAGTATTAGAACGACTTTGTTGTAGTGATCCCATTTGAGGAGACATTTATGTAAAACTATTACGAAGAAAAAATGTATTTTGATCTCCTTGTTCTGCGCCCGTTTAATCCGGTGCAGGTGAGGTAGATCGCATCGTACCTTCAGAAGCGGGTAAGCGTCTATCAGGAAATTGCCCTCCACCATTAGAAGTCTTATCGTCATCAACATAAATAGGAGTTCCTTCATTCTGAGGAGGACGTCGTCTTGCTATACTTGGATTTCTGCTCGCTCGCATAGGAAAAGGTGGATTTCTTGGACTGGATGACAATGATTTAGGTCTCTGAGGTTTTTCAGTTGGAGAAGCCGGTCGCGAATTTGATCCATTATTAATTTGTATAACAGCGCCTTCGGTGTTTGCTTTTGTAATTGGTGTTGTCGTATTAAGTCCTTGTTTCTTATTTTTATTATTTTAATAAAAAACAAAATAAAAACAATATTCTTAATGATATATATAATTGATGTGAAAAAAAATTTTTTTTTTTTGTTGTAGTTTGAAATACCTTTTGTTGTTGAGCACCTGTAAAACCGGTGAATGCGTCTTCTGGATCTACAGCTGCTACTAGTTTTGCTTTACCTAAATAGTCTTTTGTTTTTACATTTTTAAGTTTTCCTTCAGGTGGTCTATAAATTACACCAACTGGGATTGAAAATACAGTGAAACCCTATAAAATAAATAAATAATTAATTATTAAATCATAATATTTTCTTTAGAAAATAAAAAAATAAAAAAAAATGCTCACTTGACCCTGAACTGTGATAGCTTCATCAATGACTTCATGCTCCTCCGTTTGTTTTTCTTTTGCGGCCGATGTAAAATCACCCATACCTTGATCCGTTTGACCAAGATATAAGTAACACAGGCCACGATTAAATAAAATTTCACATGAATAAAGTCGAAACTTTAATCCCAATTGTTCATAATCTATAAGAACATTTTTACGAAGATACTATGACAGAAGTTATATAAATACATATTGATAAATTAATTATATAAGTATTAAATAAAAAAAAAAAATACAAACTTACCAATAAAGAATCATTGAAATTTGCTAATGCCTTTTCAAATTCACCTAATAGGAAATGGGAAACGCCCTTTTGAAAATAAGCTACAGCAAAAAATTGATCTAATTTTACAGCTTTTTTATATGACCGGCACTAAATCGTTTTTAAAATATAAAATCAAAAAATAAAAAAATGAATTAAATAATGTTCAGAGAATTTAATTGATCTGTAGCGCGATTACGTACTGCTTCTTCGTGTTCACCGAGGGTGGCATATATTAAACCCATATTAAAATGGAATTTTGCAGATTCTGCAATAGTCTAACAAAAAAAAAAAAATTAGATTTAAAATGCGTAAAGTTCAACAAGATGAATTTGAAAGGTTTTAACTTTAAAGTATAGGAATTATTCTGATCCGATTTCGTGCATACCTCGAATGTGTCCAAAGCTTTATCAAAATCTTGAGAATCATAAGCTTGAACAGCGGCACCCCACTGTTCTAACTCATACTGTGAACATAAAAGAAGAGTTAGTATATTCCGGATTAAAATAGCAAGGCTGTAATATGCTAGTATGGTATAGTTTATTGCGGATTAGAAATATAAACCTTCAAAGCCATCTAATTCACTATTTGAGTGCAATATATGTTAATGGTTGAAATTATAAGTAAGTTTCTAAATATATTAAGGCACTAAAAGAAAGTGTAAAGAGAAGGAAGTAGGACTTTAATGGAAGAATTTTTTTTTTTTCTTCTGATTAGAAAAATCAATAATAATAATAATATACAATATTAATATGTTACAAGAAAGGGGCATGGAATGTAACACGCATGTACAAAAAAAATTACCATAAAAAAAAATTAACATGACATGATTTATAAAATTATCTTTTGCGGGAGATATAAGAGCCGGTTTTTCCACCAATTGAAAAAAACTGAATTCTCAGGTATAAAATAATAATTATATAATAATAATGGCGATTTCTCTTGACTTAACAAGAAAAAAAACTGTTCAGAATGATGTAGTACAAACCTTCTTTTATTTATTATCCAGTTTAAATAAATGTGGCGCAGCGATGATCATTTCTAAAATGACAATTGCAAATTTGCAAATGAACAAAGGTTTTGTGGTTAAGAAATTTATTAAACTTGGCAAATCATGTCCAAAAATGCATAATGTTGATCGTTTTGATCGATGAATTTTAATTTAATTTTTTTTTTTTACGTGCTGCGGATTAGAATCTATCCGATTTCTTATCATGCATGATTATAATATTTATGATATATACAACAAATAATGAAACAATTCGGAGCATAGATTATTTTTCGTGTGACCATTTAGAAAGATGAAAAGATTTTTTTATTTATTTGTGATCCAGATCAAATTTTTTTTTTTTCTTTCCTCTGTTGCTTTATTTAAAATCGAAAAGAACATTTAACTTTGTGTAAGTATTTGGGAAAGTATGCTTTATTAAAACCCTTCTTTTCTAGGTAAATAAACTGATTAATTCATTCAAATAGAATTTCGATAACAATGGAATCATCACCTACTAGCGTATTAACATCAGCACCAGTCGAAATTAGTAACCACAAGAAAATTGAATATCCATTCTGGTTTGGAGGTTGGTAGATTTATGCAAAATTATTCATCCTTTTTTTTTCTTTACATGTTAATTTTCTTTTTCTGATATTAGGAGCGGCATCATGTATTGCATGTACCGTTAGCCATCCTTTGGACTTAACTAAAGTGAGATTACAAACAACGCAAGGATTAAACAAAGCATCAACAATTTATACAATGATACGAATAGTAAAAGATGAAGGTATTAGGGGATTATATAGTGGATTATCCGCTAGTATACTAAGACAAGCTACTTATTCTACAATGAGATTTGGTGCTTATGAAAAGTTAAAGACCGCAATATCAAAAAATCAAGGTATTTTGTTCTCTTTTTTTTAGGTGCATTCCCAAAATAATTTCTTTTTATTGATTATCAATAATATATTTTGATGGTAAGAGCAATTATCATTTCCAAAAAAGATTTTTTGTGCATCAATATCAGGATGTATTGGAGGAGCTTTCGGTAATCCAGCAGATTTAGTTATGGTTCGTATGCAAAATGATGCAAAGCTGCCATCACATTTACGTAGAAATTATAGACATGCTTTTGATGGACTTTATCGTATTGTGAAAGAAGATGGATTTACAGGTCTTACAAGAGGAATCGTACCAAATATGAATCGTGCTATTTTAATGAATTCATCTCAATTAGCTTCTTATGATCAATTTAAACAAATGTTACTATCTACTAAATTTTTTAAAGATAATATTATTACTCATTTTACTTGTAGTGTTTTGGCGGTAAGTTTTATCGAAAGGAAAAAGTTTTGTTTAAGGAGAAGTTTCTTTTCTTGAAACATAAATTGATTTTATCTTCATTTAGGGTTTGGTAGCTACTACTATTTGTTCACCTGTTGATGTCATCAAAACTCGTGTTATGAATTCTTCATCAGAAGCAAAGGTATGTTACCTAATATATGTATATGTATATGTATATAATCTTTGTAAGATGTTAAAAGAAAATTCATTTCTCTTCTCATTTAATAGAGTACTTTAGTAGTTTTAACAACTATAATTCGTAAAGAAGGACCTTTAGCATTATTTAAAGGATGGGTACCGGCTTTTGTAAGGTTAGGGCCACATACCGTTGTTACCTTTATGGTACTTGAACAGATTAAGAATTTATATCATAAAAAGTTGGATTTAAATGTTAAAAAACCTGAACCTGCAACCGTTTAATCATAACTTTGAAAAAAAGTTGGAAAAAATTGTTTCGCTTCAGGAGAAAATGAATTTTGGCTTTAGGTAAGTAGATATAAGGTAAGTATTGTATAATATATATATCGAACAAAGATATTCATAGAGTTCATAGATTGAAGGGAAATTTTATATTTATGTATATTTATTATTAAATAGAATTTACAGAAATAAAACTTTAATAAATAAATTATGAATGATATGAATGATATATAATTTCCAGCAAGTAAATTAAGACAGAATGAATTTATTAATTTTGCATCATGGATGAAATTTAAACGTTATCCAATGTCCAAATAAATTGATTTTTTATGATTCTGGATTTAACCCAATTAAATATCTTAGACCATTCCAAATTTTGGATATGATCTGATCACCATCTTTAAAAGCTTCAATAGGTTTATTAGAAGAATGAAATAGTTTAGCTTTTCCACCCTCAGCAACAACTTTTTCATAAATTTGTTCGGCATCAGGTAAAACATCAACTAAATATCTAGCACGAACTTCTTCTAAAGGATGAGACGCAAAGAATTCTTGTAAGCTTTGAAAAAGAGCAAGATGTTGTTCTTTACGTTCCTGATGTGTGTTAGCAATTTGTTGTGGTTCTTTTGGTTCAACATTTACATCATTTACAACATTCCTATTTTGATCAATTATCAAAGATAAATGATTCCACAATTCTATAGCTTTCTTTGGATGATATCCTGAAAGGGCCATCAAATGTAGTCCAACGATATCAGCTTCTTTCTCTGCTTTTTGATTATATCTTCCTGATGTATACGTTTCAACTAGCTTTTGTGCTGCTGTATTCAAATAATCATTTAATAAAGGTCCTATTGCTGCAAGAAATGGAAACCATAACAATGTACGAGCAGTATCTGATAAGAAAATAAAATTATAGTTAATGTATGCAAATTTCTATCGAGGGTAAAACGATTTATTAAAGTACCTGCAAACATGTATAATATTTGATTAAATCCAAGTGATTCGCTTGAATGGCGCTGTAGTATATGGGCAATCTCATGAGATAATGTGACTGCAAGGTATTCTTCATTATAATCGATTAAATTGAGCCAACCTAAGTTAATTTAAATTTATAAGATTTGATTGAGGGAAATTGCGCGTAAATTTCAGGAAAACGCGTAATAACGTTACCTGTGAATATAATCATTTTTTTTGTAGCGCCGAAGGAAACAGCATTAAAATTTTCATCATCTTCAATAATATATATTTCAAAAGGTATAGGTTCATTTTCTCCATCTTGTGTATCCGTACTCTCATCTTTCATGTTAACAACATTTTGTTCTACAATTTTAGCAACTTCTTCAATACATTCTTTTTCATTTAAATTTTTAAATGATTTTAAAGTCATTAAATCGTTATTTAGCCCTTTAATTAAATTCTCGGCAACATGATGAACAAAAATACTCTCAATTCTATCATTTGGTAAGAATTTGTCTTTATATTTTTCTATTTCCATTAAAAATGCTACATTACAAATTTCTTTTTCCTCCTCTTCTGACAAAAATCTAACTCTCCAACGTCCTGTGTGTGGTGCTTGCTCTAAACCCATTAAAGTTACCATACAAAATCCTGTTAATGGTATTACCGTCGTTAAAAATATTAATAATCGTCTTGGCCGTCCAGTTTTTGGATTTTTACGTAATGCAAAAGGTAAAAATGACAGTAATAAATTACTAAGTGTACGTATTACTATTGTCACGTTCGCTGCCTTAAGTGCTAATAGAAATGCTGGCAATGGTATCGCTCTAGCTGGTTGCGTTGCATGAAAAGGTCTACATTGAAATTTTGGTACTAATTTTGGTAATGTTGAAAGTGAAAAATTGCTCAAATTAATATCAAAAGTTCTTCTCCTAGTCGTCGTAAAAAAAGTCGGTCGTTTTACGTACTGTATCGCATAGCTTGTTCCTTGGTTCTTTAAAAGTGAATTTGTTCCATTACGTTGAAATCTAGTGGTAATTCTCAAATTTCTTAAAGGACTTTTTAAACCAATCCATCTTATCATTTCTTTCGGTTTTTCAAGATAAAAATTATAAAAAATTGGAGTAACAGTGAATTTAAATCAAGGCTTAAATAAACAAACTGCTTTTACTCGGAAAAAAGACTGCAGGTTAAAATGAAACAACATCTTCCTCTTTGTTATATTACTTTAATTGGTTGGTAAAACATTCGAGAAAGTTTTCTTACGATTGACAACGACTTTCATTTTTTTCTATATTGATTATAATGGAAGCCCGGCACGAGCCGAATACCTACCGTATACTTCCGAAAAAAATGATTTATTTAGTAAATGATATCGATATCAATACCAATATTTTCGCTAATAATTGTCAATTTCTAATCATCATTATCTGAATTCTCTAAGGCATTTAAATGCCACAAGTTTTAAAAGACTTTCATTAAGATTTCTTTTTAAGATTGCTTAATCCAAACATAATCTTATTTACCTAACCGATTTATCTATGTATTGGACTCTTAGAAAAAGATAATCAATATCATAATAATAATAGATTTTTTTTATAGCAAATTGAATTTTTTCTTAGTATCAAGAAAAATATGAGTGGTAAACTTTTTTGTATTTTGGTTATTTATCTCTTCAATGTTTTGTCTACAAATTTGCAGGCAATTTTATTTATTAATTACAACCATTTTTAAATATTATTAAAAAGATTAATACAGTCAAACCTCTATAAATGCATTCTCTATAAATGCATATCCTCTTTAAATGCACACTCTGGTCCAATCCCTAGCTTAGAACTTAGATGTTAAATGCACCCTCTATGTTCTACACGTGCAAGGAGTTTTTTAGTCCATTCATATGATAAATGCATTCTTTAAATGTATGTTACATGACTACAAATTTTTTATTAAAGCTATAACCCAGCAGCATTATTCTAATGCTGGCCAAACATCTTCATTTGACTGATCATGATATCATAATAATCAGTCATTTGTATCATTTTAAGAATTTTGGCATCATAAAATAATAATTAATATTAACTATTGAATAAATAATATAAATAAGTTTTAGTTTTTAGATGAGTTTCGATATATTTTGATATATAAATTCACATTGTGATCATTCTTTATATCATTGCATATATTGATCCTTAACCTCTAAAATATGTTGTATTACATCTACAATATACATATAATTACATAGACAATGATAATAATAAAAAATAATTTATTAAACATTTGGTTTTTATTAACTGCAAATGTTGCATACTATCAGATATTAACAGTAACATAGCCTATTTGCAACTGCAATATAGATACTGCAAATTTTTGCGGTGATACAGATACTACGCATTTTTACGATACCTGCGACACTTGCAAAAAATTAGCCTTACAGCACTTGCAAATACTTGAATATTATTATTAAAAAAATAAATATAGCCTTATGGCATTTGTAATTCTTAAATATTATTATCTAAACTAAAATAATAATAAAGATATAATAGTCATATTAGTAATAGTAATATTAATACAAAATCAAAATCAAAAAGCAAACATATAAAAAGAAAAATATAGCCTTACGAAAATTATATATTAGAAAATATTATATAGTCCATCATACCTTACGGAATTGTTGAAAGTAAGGATAAAAAGCCAAAAAATTAAGAATATAAATAGACAAGCAAAATTGTTTTCTTTATTACCAAATTCAAATATGCCTTCTAAAAAAGTCACTCTAACCGATGCTCAAAAACGCAAATTTTGTCTTTATACCTATGATAATAAAAGAACTCAAACTCAATATTTAGATTGGATTGAAAATAAATGAGGATTAGATTTAATGAATTAACTATTACAAGAATTTTACAAAATAGTAATAAATGACTTACCACCGAAATTGTTAATCCAGAATTAAAATGACACTGATCTGTCACTATTCTAGAACTTGAACTAGTACTTAAAGAATTTGTGCTATATTACCAACAATAAACTATATTAAGTAATGCGATATTAATTGAAAAGGCTAAGTTGCTTGCTAGCAGATTAGGAGTTTCAGAAAAAACATTGCAATTTTCTTCTAATTGGCTTTACAAATTTAAAGATCATAATGGAATTTATCAAGAGAAACTTTATAGAGAAGCTGAATCTGCTGATAATACTGCTATTCTTAAAGCTTTATCATTACTACGTGATAAATGTGCTAACTATCTTCTTGAGAGGATATATAATATAGATGAGACTGAACTTTTCTACTAATTGAAATCAGATTAAACTTTAGCTACAAAACATCTTTCTGGACGTAAAAAAAATAAAGAGCGTATTTCTATTGCATTGTATGCAAATGTCAATAGATCATATAAGCTGAAACCTTTGATTGTTGGAAAATGTGCAAAGCCACAGTGTTTTAAGAATATTAATATTTTCAACCTTCCAATGACCTATCGAAATAATACCAAAGCTTAGATGCTACTAACTCTCTTTCAAAAATGGCTTTAAGGATTTGATTTACAAATATCCAGAAAGCATAATGATCAGCGTATTTTGCTACTTCTTAACAACTGTTCAAGTTATAAGATAAATAGGTTAGTTCTTTCACATGTTAATGTTTATTTCTTACCTCCAAAATAATATTAAAGATTCAACCAATGGATACTGGAATCATCATGTTATTTAAAAGAAATTATTGTCGCCATCAAATTTAATGGATGTTGGATCAGATTGAAGCTGATGAATCTGCATAAAATTTGAAAATGAATATCTTACAAGACATTTGATATTCTATTCAAGCTTGAGATGAAGTTAAGACTGAAATGATTCATAACTGCTAGCGTTATACCAAAATCCTTCCTGTTGAAGAAAATGTTAAAGAAAATGTTGTTGAAAATGACTTGCTACTTAAAGAACTTTTTAATGTACTTGAAACTATTAATTTTCCTGATAGTATGTAAGTAGAAGAGCTTTTAGCTCTCTCTAAAGAGAATATTACTTATAAAATTCCTGAA